ATGGAATCACATAGTATATTGATGCTTCTGTCTGTTTTTTTTTTCCCACAACATAATGCTTTTGAGATTCATCCATGTTGCTACATATATTGCTAGTTCATTTCTTTTTACTGCAAGGTAGTATTCCACTGCAAAAATGTAAAATAATTTGTTTATGCGTTTAAATATATAGATGGATATTTGAGTTATTTCTGGGTTTTGGTTATTATGAATGAGACGGTTATGAATATTTGTGTACAAGTCTTTAGGCGGATGTATGTTTTTATTTTTTCTCTTGAGTATATGCCTAGTAATGGGGTGCATGTTTGACTTTACAAAAAACTGCCAAGTTGTTTGCTAAAGCAGTCATATCATTTTTACATTCTCATCAGCAAAGTATGAGAGCTCAAATTGCTTCACATGTTTGTTAACACTTGGTATTGTCAGTATTTTTAATTTTAGTCATTGCTGAAAAGAAAAAGCAGAAACCAATGCTTTAAGAATGTTAATCACAGAGGCGTCTCAGTACATAAGCATTTGTACATATCATTCGAGAAGTCAATCAATCCGTGATTCCAGTGAGAAACACTCAAATCCTATCCCAAGACGCCATAAAGAACTGGAGAGATTCTTTTTCTCCTTCTATAATTAAACCTAAATAAACCAAGAAAGATCATCTTATTTATCCCACTCCAGTACCTTTTTTGGATACCTCCAAAGGATACTTAAACCGCTCTGAAAACAGTAAGTCTTATGATCACAGACCTCTAACTCTGATCATAAACTGTATTAGATATTGGGAAAAAATTCACACAAAGAAAAGTTAGTAAAAGACATTGGATATATATGAAACACCCATGTCTAGATACATATTTTGGCAAGCTTTTAAAGCAGTGATACTTCTCCCTTTTTTAAAATTTAATGCTTCATGCTGTTTGAAGAATGGTTAAAAATTATTTGCAAACATTGTCCTAATTTGGACAAAGTTTGCCAGTTCAAAATGGATCGCTGGATTTCATCAACCAAACCACAATAGTTGAAGGGCCTGGCCTCCCAGAAGGCGTAGGCAGTTCACACTAATAGCAGGAAGAAGACTGTCATTCCAGGGCTCGGCTTTCACTTCACAGACTCCTATGAGAGCTGAGCTACAAAGAGGTCATCCCTACCTAGACTGAATAGAATAGGAGAAATTCAAAATCCTGCTTAGTCTTTTAATGAACCTGCCATTTCCTCTGCCTGGAATGCCCTCTCACCCACACAATCCTCTTTTCAAAACCAGTGAAGCCCTGCTTTTCTCGAAATTCTTGGTTCTCCCAACCAGGACAAATTCTCTGCATACATGTGTTTGCATCATTGTATTTTTTTTTAATCTTTCACAGTTTATAACTATGTTTATTTTAGTGACAGATTAATGTCTATTGCTGCTTGCCCACCAAATGAGGTAAGCTGCACGAATTCTTTTCATAGCGGTACCCACAGAAGCTAGAATGCTTGGCACAGAAAAGTTCTTAATAAATATTTGACTAATTGCTAATTAAAACATTACCTTATCAGGGATGTAACTGATATGCTTCTAAGCTTCGCACAAGTTAAAGAATAAAGGTGGCTGCTTCTTTGTCACTTACAAGAAAAATCAAACTGCAAAAATCTTGGGTGTCAAAGTTGCCTGCCCTTCTCCTGCCCCAATTTCCACTATACTATCTGCTTCAGTGTCAGATCTACTGTATCAATATGTTCTCTCAAGATTCAAAACCATGAAAAGACTGAAGAACAAAAGATTTTCCTCCATTAGAATGCAACAAAAAACCAATTCTCACAGTTTTGGACTTTAAACCTGAAGGTCTTGGTAATTTGTAAAGGAAATACAGTTATTCCTTAAGTCCCAGGTCATTATCTTCTATGGCAGGGGAAATGAAATGGTTATTCTATTTCACTGAGATGAGGTTGTTAGAGTCCCTATATCACTCTTGGAGGCTTCATGATCAGAATTAGGCAGACAATAGCACATGCCTAAAATGCAAACAACTGTTCGTCAATTATACATATGTACTAGGCAAAATTCAAGTGGCTTCTAGACCATCTACCTTTCTTTCAACTACTCATCTACAAGAAATCTCAATGAAATATTGAGAAAATAGAGCTTAACAAAATTAGAATCACTAGGTGTCTATACTAGGCCAATGTTCAGCCCAGCCCAAATGCAAATCAATATTTATTTAAGTGTATTCTATTCATCGTTTGTGTAAGCAGAACTCTGGAATCTAAATTTAAGAATATGAAAATATTTTTAAGACCTGGGCTGGGCATGGTGGCTCATGCATAATCCTAGCACTTTCAGAGGCCAAGGAGAAATGACTGTTTGGAGCTGGGAGTTTGAGACCAGCCTGGGCAATATGACAAGACCCCATTGCCACAAAAACGGCAAAAATGGTGGTTCATCCCTGCAATCCCAGCACTTTGGGAGGACTAAGTAGGAGGATTGCTTGAGCCCAGGAGTTCGAGACCAGCCTAGGCAACAGAGTGAGAACTCATCTTCACAAAAAAATACAAAAATCAGCTGGGCACAGTGTTGTGTGCCTGCAGTCCCAGCTCTCAGGAGGCTGAGGCAGGAGGATCGATTGAACCCAAGGAGGTCAAGGCTGCAGTGGGCCATGGCTGTCCTACTGCACTCCAGCCTGGGCAACAGAGTGAGACCCTGTCTCAAAACAAAACTAAACAAAACAAAACACACTTGAATTTCATTAATAAAATTCTAGGAAGGTATCAGGTGAGGCTACTTCTTTCTTCCACTTAGTCATTAGATATTAATTGAGGCCCTAGAATATGCCAGGCACTGCTTAGCACACTAAAGAAATACAAATGTCTTCTAAAAATAACCAAGTTTTCTTTATTAACCTAATCCTTATTTTTAATAAACAGAAACCAATGTTTCAAGGTCAATTCTCTCACACTCATTTAAATAAAAGCTTTCTTCCTTTTTTTTTTTTTTTGAAGCAGAGTCTCACTCTATCACCCAGGCTGGAGTGCAGTGGTATGATCTCGGCTCATTGCAACCTCTGCCTCCCGAGTTCAAGCGATTCTCCCGTCTCAGCTGTCTGAGTAGCTGGGATTACAGGCAGACACCACCATGCCTGGCTAATTTTTGTGTTTTTAATAGACAGGGTTTTACTATGTTGGCCAGGCTGGTCTCGAACTCCTGGCCTCAGATGATTCTCCTGCCTTGGCCTCCCAAAGTGCTGGGCATTTATAGGCATGAGCCGCCACCAGGCCTGGCCCATTGAAAAATAATTCTTACCAAAGTGTTATGTTCTTACTTCATTTTTTTCGTTTGTCTGTTTTAATTACACTTTATGTTCTAGGGTACATGTGCAAAATGTGCAGGTTTGTTATATATGTATACACGTGCCACGTTGGTGTGCTGCACCCATTAACTCGTCATTTACATTAGGTATGTTTCCTAATGCTATCCCTCCCCTGTCCCCCGACCCCACAACAAGCCTGGGTGTGTGATGTTCCCCTTCCTGTGTCCAAGTGTTCTTCATTGTTCAATTCCCACATATAAGTGAGAACATGTGGTGTTTGGTTTTCTGTTCTTGCGATAGTTTGCTGAGAATGATGGTTTCCAGCTGCATCCATGTCCCTACAAAGGACATTAACTCATCCTTTTTTATGGCTGCATAGTATTCCATGGTGTATATGTGCCACATTTTCTTAATCCAATCTGTCATTGATGGACATTTAGGTTGGTTCCAAGTCCTTGCTGTTGCGAACAGTGCCGCAATAAACATATGTGTGTTTACTTCGTTTTAATCTAAGACACAATCTTAGAAATTTACATATTCTTTCTGGTAAAAAGTTACTTTTCACTTTGGGAGGCCGAGACGGGTGGATCAAGGTCAGGAGATCGAGACCATCCTGGCTAACACAGTGAAACCCCGTCTCTACTAAAAAATACAAAAAACTAGCCAGGCGAGGTGGTGGGCACCTGCAGTCCCAGCTACTTGGGAGGCTGAGGCAGGAGAATGGCGTAAACCCAGGAGGCAGAGCTTGCAATGAGCTGAGATCCAGCCACTGCACTCCATGACAGAGCGAGACTCTGTCTCAGAAAAAAAAAAAGAAAAGTTACTTTTACCCTAAAATAAATTCTGATAAATGATCAAAGGTTTAATTTTTTAAAAAGCTAGAAAGGGGTCCAAAAAAGTAAAGTTTGATTCCCAAAACTACAATTGAAGGAAATTTTTTACAAAGATAAATTAAAGTAAGCTTAAATCTTCCATCACTCCATACAAGAAATATTATCAAAAATATCACAAATGCCCCAGGTGTTTAGATTAGCATCGCCCATAACTCCATGAAAAATTTATCCAAATTTTATCTCAACAATCTTAATACAAATCCATTGTAAATTCTACAGATCTCCTATAATCACAAACAGAAAGAGACAACAACAACAACAACAACAACAACAACAACAAGATTCTAAGCTTAATAAAACAGATGCCTCTTCCCGACCAGGCACTGGCTGTCAGGCAAAGCAATGACTTGTGAACTGAATCGACCTTATCACATTCCACAAGGTGCCAAGATTTATCTTAAGACAAGTGATTACTGATTATTGGCAACTGTCTAGAAAAACAAAGCTAATGAAAGTCAAGCTGTGAGTAATGACAATTTTCCAGATATCAGGAACTGTTCTAAAAAGAGAATTCCAGAGGATAGCCCATTCTCTGTCAGTGTCCCAGTGAAGGCAAGTATGGACAAACAAGTCTGCAAAACATTTTACAAAAGCTCTTAATGAACTGGAAAATACATCCGAATTGAACTTCACTACCTTTCCAATACATGGCAACCTCAAAAACAGAGGTGTCACCAGTAAATAGGAAGACCACAGAAACAGGGAAAAGCAGCAAGAGAGTGCAGACACCTACAAAACCTGTGAATGTAAACCTCCTGGATACCTCAGAATTAACTGTTTTAAAATAGAAGTTATTTTAATAATATTAATATCTGGTTCTCATTACCTGACAGGCAGATATAAGTTAAATATTCGCCTTGACCTCCAGTTGCCAAGAAAGGAATCTTTTTCTTTGTCCTCCTCTTGACTTGGACAGCTCCCAGCATCCTTTCATCAAGAGGTGCAAAAATTTCCTTGCTGATAGCAGATTTGGCACTCATTGTAGAACAAGCGAGTACAGCACGCAGTGAATCTTCTAAAGAAGCAAAAGAAAGGAAAGTTGGAATTGACAACATTGTAAGGGCTCATACAAGAATCAGCAGCCAGTGAATTTGCAGGTGAAGTAATTTTCAATTTGCAGTTTAATCTCATACTTGCTTGAAATGTATTATAGAAACATTAATAAGCAAGGTCTTCATACTTGCAATAACTATGAAAAAATACAAACAAAAATGGGGTACTTATTCTCCAAAAATGTCAAACACAATATGAGATGAGTAGTACAAACTGGGATCTGGAAAGTTTGTTAATTACTACCCCAACTGCACCTCCCTCTAACTGGCAAGGAGCACCCACTCTATTCCTATTCTGTAAGGAACATGATTTCACAATTCCAGATGACAAGTCTTTCCACTATCCAACAGTCCTTAGCGTCAAGAAATTCTTTATGCCCCTTCAAAACCTCCTTTAATGTAAATCCATTTCCCTAATTCCATTCATAATGGAAATAATTATATCATCTTCTACACAATAACTATACATGCTACAGAAGACCACTAAATTAATACCCTTCTTCTGCCTTTGATCACGCTAAGTAATGAATTCTTATTTATTAGCTTCTTCCAATGGGTCCTACTTTGCAGTGCTCCTCTGCATCTAGTTACCATGCTCTGTACCCTTGACAAACACTCCACATTTTCCTTCAGCCAAAATGGATACAAAATCCTAAAAACATATCTGACTAATGCTAAGTATTTTGGAAATGTTACCCTGCAGCTCCCACATGTTATGCTCCTCTGGTTAACTGGCAGTGGATGCCCAATAATTAAGAAAATAAAGCAGTATGATGCTGACTCACAGTGAGTTCCCCCCTAAAACATACAAATGCATAGCCCCCATGTTATATTTAGTTTTCTAAAAGTTGTACTTCACCAATGGTCTTAACTCTGCTTATTAATATCTATTATGTTCAAGGTCAATCTGAAATATTAAGCCTGTCATCCAAAAAGATTCAACAGCAACTTGAGTAAACTTTCTCTATTCTATCATCCTAGTCATAAATAGTCTGTGCCTTAACCATGAATAGGTATTTGTTCAGGCAATTCAACAAATCAAAATTAAAGGCAAAGAGAGGGCCCATGGGTTGGACATGCAGAGTATCAGAGATCCTGCATATGGATCAACAGCATAGCTATCTACAGTAACAGAAGCTCAAAGAGTTGATCAGACTGCTATAAAATTGAGCCAGCTGGTTACAAAAATGCCTGCTATGTGCCACTTCTATGATTAGTATTAGAGATACAAGAAATAATTAAGATATGGTCCCATTTCTCCAGGAATTGACTGCTAACTACATCAGAGGTTTCACTGAAATCCAGGTAATTTATGGTAAAAGATCATGCGACCATCCTTCCCAATGTAAGATTCATAAATGTTACCCACACAGCTGTTTACCTGTAACCTGTTCACATCTATAACCTCCTGGTAGGAAAGAGATACATTAAAAAAGAACATCTTTCTAGTCAAAGGAATTCTCCTAGTTTTTATTCTGTAATAGAGTAGGTTTTCTTAGCGACACAGAATACCTATCTATACATACACAAAGAATATGTATCTAGATATCCTAGAAATTATAGATCTCATACTCACATCTACTTGTAAGATGTGATCTAATCCCAACATTTTATCATCACCACCAGGTTCTTCATGCTGGCCAAGAACAAAATGACAACAGTGAAGGAGGACCTGTTTTTCAATATGCTGATCACTAGCTGATATGCTATGATTTCCAACAAGTTGGTAACAGAATTTCCTAATTTACCCCATGACTTTCCTAGGCAAGGTGTTATAATTTATCAGTGACTATTTATTTTTTTTAAGAAAGAAACACATACTGGTGATCTTCCAGCTCCAAGGCCACTTGCCTCTTACTATTTGGGTACAGGTGAAAAAGAAAGCCAGCAGTAGCACAGTGGCTTCAAACCATTTGATAAGCAATGTAGAAAGCAAGCAAAGTCCTGAGCTGACTGGGCACTCTTTTTTTTTTTTTTTTTTTTTTTTTGAGGCAGAGTCTTGCGCTGTCACCCAGGCTGGAGTGCAGTGGTGCAATCTCGACTCACTGTAACCTCCACTTCCCAGGTTCAATCGATTTTACTGCCTCAGCCTCCCCAGTAGCTGTGATTACAGACGCCTACCACCACGCCCAGTTTTTTTTTTTTTTTTGTATTTTTAGTAGAGACAGGGTTTCACCATGTTGGCCAGGCTGGTCTCGAACACCTGATCTCAAGTGATCCACCCGCTTTGGCCTCCCAAAGTGTTAGGATTACAGGCGTGAGCCACCGCGCCCGGTCTCATCAGGTATTCTCGGACCAGCATCTTCCCAGTTGTCATGGCTTTTGCTTTTTCATCTCAGGCTCACAGTTTTCTAAAACTGCAGTTAAAAGAAAAAGAAAGCTATCATTTTATCATATAAAATCTGTCAGAAAAAGGAAAGAAAGAGATATGTGGTTTTACCAAGCTTAGGAAACCTGTTCTTTTTCAAAACTGGTGAGAAATAGAAATGACCTTCTATTGTTTTTTATACTGATATTCAGTGACCAAGAACAAAAAAGAAAGAGAGAATAGATAAAGCCAGTAACTTCTTCACAGAGCACAAGTTTTAGAATCAAACCAATTCAGGTTCAAATTTGAGCTCCAACACCTAAGACTTACGTGATTTCTGGGTAAACCTCTTAAAATTATAGACCCTTAGTTTGTTAACTACAACCTAGAGATGTCTTCACCTACCTTCTGGAACTAAAGAATTAAATGAAACAATACATGCAGAACACTTATTCTGTTGCCTGAATAATTAAAAAATGCTTAAAAATGAAATATTTTTATTAATTCTCCTACTATGATATGAAAAGATAAAAATCCCTCTGAACTTGTAGAAATTGAGTAAATGTAGCCGTCTATACCAAAGGTATTTGTAAAAGTGAAACCCAACTTTATTTACAAATCCTCACCTTTCTCACCCATCAGTATGAGACCCTCCACATATGGATAAACAGTCTCTTATAGGGATGGTTTTGCACTAAGTATCACAAGGATGAGGAATTTATAGGCGTCACTCTTTAGGACACTTGCTAGGAGATTATCAGACTCATTCTATATGAAATTATCAAAAGTTTTTATTCGGGGCAATGACACTAACAGGCCACTGTGGAGCACACATGTATACATGTTTTTAATTTCACCCTGGGAATGGCAATGTGCAGCCGATTAGATGGAAAAGAATCAGAAAGTAAAAGGGGTACCGTTATAGCTTCATAGCAATAACTTCTGAGTATCCCAAATCTGATTGTACATCTGAATTCAGCATGGAGAGCTTTTCAAAAATGCAGACTCCTGGGTCCTTCCTTTATACCCACCAAATTAGAATCGTGAGATCTGTATTTTAAACAACTCTAACTGGTTCTCATGCAGCCATGCATGCATGAGATCTAATTTAAATGCTGTGAGCCTAGAGAGGAGCTAAAACTTAGACCAGAAAGGTAGCGATGGGAATGGAAAGGATGAATCATTTCAGGAGAGAATATAGGAAGACAATGCACAGGATTTTTTTTTTCTCCATCTGAGCAGCTTTATCAGGCCTTACGTCTTAGTGTTGGTAAATCAATGTCCATCCCAAGGCTGAGAACCCATTGTAAGAAAGTAACATGAATATAACAGCAATGGTACACCAATGACCACTAGTTACTCCAACCTATATCACCCCATGGAAGCCTTTTCTTTTCCTGCTTCTACAGGGTATAATTACAAAATTTTCCATCCAAGAAACCAACCTACAATATGATTTGCAAGTCAAAGCAGCTGGTTCCCATAAGTGTTAGCTGCAAAAACTAATCACAGTTAGTTCTGATCTTCTCACTTTGTGCAATCTCATCCATACATACCACTCTTGTTAATGCATGGCTACTGTAGTGTGATGCCTTTCCACTGCCCAAGTAACTAGGAAATAAGACCATCCTTTAGGTTAGGAGTTGTGAACTCAAATGACCTCAGAGATCAGGTAGATGAAGCACATAAGTAAAGGGGAACAGGCATAAGATGCTTTTGTATTCCAATATCAACATTTTTGGTTTCCAGTGGAACTGGTATTTGTCTTCTGTGATCAGGAGACCAAGAGGAGTAGTAGGAACTGCAGCAAATTAAAAACCTCCATTGTTAAGGCATTCATTATCATGCAGGTGGTTCTAGGGCAGTATAGTCTACAGCCCTTAAATATTTTTCACGTGAGAAGAAAGAACCTCTTCTGGTAAGGCAACAGTGCCATCTATTTAGCTTAGTACTGTTAGATAGTTGATCTAACCTCATTAACTTCTCTGTTCTGATTCCATGTTTAACATGCAATCCTCTGACCATGTTTTGGCTTTGAGGCTGTGCCACACAAGTATTCTAGACTATGTGACAATTATACTTCCAATTGTAAATGAGTAACCGAGAATTTTAGACATCAGTCTCATAAGCTAGTTAATGTGTCTCAGCACTAAGGCAGATGAAGTCAGCATGCTGATTACAAGTTTCAGAGTCTCTGAAATTAAGAACCAAGATAATGTCACCCTGGAAGACTTTTGGGGGAAAATCAGCTAGTCTGTCCTACTTCAAGGGAACTTCAGTTTGGTGAACCCAAATAAGTTAGAAATAAGATTCTCTAAAATTAGACTTCTTTGCATTACCACTTTGTTTTTGAAATTCTACAAATTCAATTTTAACTCCCACCTATAATGTGATGACACTAATCATGCATCCAACTCAGAGTGCCTTTCTGGCTTTAAACCCATATACCTAGCTGTAGACTGATCATTTCCACTGAGAGCTAACCTAGACCCTTCCTTCTCCCTTAATCCTTTCAAATCCTGATAACGAACAAATCACCAAATCCTGTGGGTTTGATTTAATATTTCTAGACTAGCTTTTCTTCATTCTCGCTTCCTCTACCTTAGTTTGGGTCTTCACCATCCCAGGCCTGAATAATTTTGATGCTTCCTCTAA